AGCACACGACAGCGGTCGGCAGACCCTCTGCAGCCTCCTCTTCTTCGCTCTCGGAGAGGGTCTTCAGGGAGAAAACAATCATGTCGCTAAGCTCAAAATCATCGACTTCAGGCGAGATAGTGAAAGGTCCCTGTAGCAACGGCACCGCAGGCGCACTGTGTGGGCGAGCGAAGACCTGAACTGTGTCACCCTGCGCCCGCTCCTCTGCGAGAGGCTCCTCGTATAAGATGTCCGACAGCCATGAGACCTGCTTCTCTGATGTTTTCAACTCGTCTTTGGGCGATGTCTCGTCTTCTGAGAGCTCGGCGTAGTTGATGTTGATGGAGGAGGTAAGGGTTTGGAGGAATGTGTGGCTGCCGGGCGACTCGACCAACTGCCACTTGCTCGGTAGCAAAGGACAGAGCGCGTATACGTCTCCAAGTACCGTCGCGATCCACAATGTCATCGGCGCCCAGCCATGGACACCTTCTTGGTCTGGGAAGTCGCCAAAGCATGCCGATGCAACTTCCAGCTCGACTGAGTCGGGAGAGAAGCCCTTGGAAGCTCCGAATTTGGAGGCGCTCAGATCGTCCTGGTCGCTGGTAGCGTTTGCGAGTTTGGGCAGATCGATGGAGAGCGATGGCTCACTGAAGGTAGACCTGTCGGCGCGGTTGATCTCCCACAGCCTGACTACGCCCGCCTTTGTGATGGTGACTAGACAGCGCCCGTGATAGCCCAATGGATGCCATAGTGTTGTTGCGACGGGCGACTCTTCGAGAACGTGTACGGTCGGTCCCAACTGGAAGGCCTTTGGCTTCAACGGGCCGTCGTCCTCTCCAGCTCCGAGCAGCGACGAGTCGGGAAGGTGTATTACGTGTACCGTATGCGAGGTGGAGACGGTGAGGTAGTCTTCTTCGGGCGAAATGACGAGACGCGTGATCGGGAGTGGTATCGAGACTCTGAGTGTTCGGTATGCGGGCTGTTGCTCTTCCTTGAGGTTGACCAAGTCTGCCCATCGTATTTCGTTTCCAACAGCGACAAAGATCTCCGATCCCCTCGTTGCGATCGTCTTTCGCGGTCCTGGTTCCTGCTTCTTCGCTGCGACTCCATTCCCGTTTGTCTGCTTTGGCGCAAACAGATGATAGCCTGGGTTCGGTCGGCTGAGCCAGTCCGGCGTATAACCCAGTACTTTTGGCATGACGGCGAGCTCCCTCGGGTAATATTGAGAGAGTTAGGAGTGGGTATGGAATAGTTGCGTGGATTGTAGAGGTAAGAGTGTGGACAAACAAAAGTTCCAGCCGCGCGATACAGCGCCAAGACCGACGCGTCTCGAGAGCTCCGAGCTCGACTTTCGACTTCCGATCCTTACACTCACTCCAAAACAACCCTCGATCTTCTCTCACTCCCCCGGGCCACGGTCGCTTCCTACAAATCTAGCCGACATCGAAGTTGAGGGCGCGCATCATGCCGGCGCTTCGCAGTACCATTGACCGCCTCGACAAGCCGAGTTCGTATGCGACAGCAAAGGTATGGGAGGCTACAACACATCGCATTAGTACGCAAATACTGACACTCTTCTAGAAGCGCAGACGCGACCGCAACGGACGTGACGATGACCGCGGCCGCTCTCCCTCGCCCGAAGACAAGCTCAAAGACGCAACCACCCTCTACGTCGGCAACCTTTCCTTCTACACCACCGAAGAGCAAATCCACGAGCTGTTCAGCAAATGCGGCGAGATCAAGCGCTTAGTCATGGGTCTTGACCGATTCCAGAAGACACCATGCGGATTCTGCTTCGTCGAATACTACACACACCAGGATGCGCTGGACTGCATGAAGTACATCGGTGGCACTAAGCTCGATGAGCGTGTTATTAGGACGGATTTGGACGAGGGCTTCGCCGAGGGAAGGCAGTACGGACGCGGAAAGAGCGGTGGTCAGGTGCGCGACGAGTACAGAGCCGAGTATGATCCTGGTAGGGGCGGATACGGCAGAGCTGTGGACGAATACCACGAAGCGCAGTAAGATGACAATAGACGACTACCTCTCGGACAACTAGGACGTTAATCACGAGGAAAAACCTAGGCCATATTGATCGGGAGAACCCAGCGCCGCTGCGCCCACCACACGTACTACGCTGAGATTGAAGACGACGAAGGGCACTTCATTTACATGGGGAAGCTCGCCCAACCCAAACTCAACTGGGTGTCCAAACACTGCAAAGAAGGCGTCTGGCGTCTATCATTCGGCATTGTTCATTAGTGCTCTAGTTATAAGCACATGCTCATAGGGGGTAAAGATACCATACTAGATACCTTCCCAAAACTCAGTACCATCTTCCAAACACCCTCTCTTATGCGATACAAGAATGCCGCCCAGCCATGCGCCCGTCAATGTCTAACATTTTCTGTCACTCATCTAGTCCGGTCCGCAAGTTCAAACTGCTGTCGCCTCTCCACGGCCTTTACAACCTCTCCCAACCACCAGGCATGTATCCGTGGGTCATCCGTCAGTTCAGGATGGAAACTGCACCCAAACACATTGCCCTGTCGTACAGCTATTATATCCTCCGCACCCGGATGGTCATGTACCTGGTTCTCCTGCAAAGGCTTCGCATTGGTCGACAGCGTAGCCATGACCTCAACCTCGCTTTCCAACTCCTTCCTCGCAAGATCATCCGCTGGCGTCTTACTCGGCGCAACAATTGTATCGTCCCTCTCGCTCTCCCCTTCTTGTATGCCCACTGCCTTCTTGCTCGGTAATAGCTTCTCTACGACAGGCGCGCGAATGAAGACGCATCGGTATGGATCGGTCCTGTTCGATTCGCTCGTCGATTTCAGGAAGGGCAGCTGGAGGTTTGCCTGGAAACTCTCGGTTTGCCGCCCGAAATGATTCCTGTTCACCCGCACGTCTAGACCTCCAATTAAGTCCTGGCCTCCCTTCTTAGTTCTATTGGCACTCTCTGCTAGTAGAATCAGGCCAGCGCATGTACCCCACGTTGGCTTGCGCTGCACTTTGACGAAGTCGCGGAGGGGCTCGAGGAGGGCGCTTCGTGCGGCTACGAGTGACATTGTTGTGCTTTCACCACCGGGGATGATGAGGCCGTCGCATTGTGCGAGCTGGGCTGGTGTGCGGACCTCAATGAAGTGGAAGGTTTGCGACGAGGGGATGTTCGAGGATGCTGCGCGGAGGAGTTGGATGTGTTCGCTGAAAGCGCCTTGGAGGGCAAGCACGCCGACCGTGATGTCCTGAATACCGTTCTTTACCGTCATAGTAAAAACAAATCAGATCCCAGGAACTCCGTGACTGTAGGAAAGAAAGGAATTGAAGTGTCAAGCAAATGTACAGTCATGCAACGGAAAGCGACGGCAATGGCGAAATCTTTATCGATAAGCCCAGCCCCCACTAAAACGCGGTAATCGCCCGCGCGAGCACATGTCACCTCACACATGCGTTTGGTTCAGCCCTATTGATCCGCTTACCCCGACACGGTGCCGCTCTTCGATCTACCTCTCCATCATCGACATCTCGGACCCCCATTGATGCCGTGAACGATCATGACATGTAGATCCCCACGCGTTCTACACATCACGTCAAGAAAGGTCGTACCTGCACTAAAGCTTCCAAGGCTCATATAAGGCGAGAGTCCTTCTAGTAGTCTAGTCTCACTACTTTAGCCGATAACGCAATCCGGCCCGGTCTAGGACAGTAGATGAAGGCGCCATGATCGACAAACAGGATGAAGAGCCAACGGGACACGGTCTCACGTGCTGGCTACTGGATACGCGATCGTTATGGCCTGGGGAAAAGATCACAGATTCAGAATCAGTATGTCGTCTCACAAACATAGGTCTGCCTAGAACATCAACTCACCATTCCTAGGCTAGAGAAGCGCTCTCCCTCGTCACCCCCGAGGAACAAGACCTCATAAAACGCAAATACCACATAGCAGATGCGCGAATGAGCCTAGGCTCCGCCCTCCTCAAACGTCTTTTCGTACACAAAACTCTCGGTATACCATGGAAGGACATCCGCTTTGGCCGCAAACGCGATCCTAAACACGGGAAGCCTATCGCCTTGCTAATACCACCGCAACATGGCCCGGCTCCCGTGGAATTCAACATCAGTCACCAAGCCGGTCTCGTCGCCCTCGTAGGCTGCGCAACCAATGAACTTGACGCAGAAGTCGGCGTGGATATAGTTTGCGTTAACGAGCGAAACGACTACCGTGTTGTCGACGAAGAGGGTTTCGATGGTTGGGTGGATATGTACGCTGAGCTCTTCAGCGGGGAAGAACTCTTCGACATCAAGTACAACGTTGACCCATTCCCCCTTCTCGACGGCACAATGGTCACGCATGAGATTCTGGGTCGACACGATCGCTGTTGTAGGCGAAATGAGCATCTCAACGTGACACTACCGAGTGGAGAAAAGAGGGAGTTGGACTCGGATCTTCTCATCGATGCGAAATTACGCCGGTTCTACACGTTTTGGTGCTTCAAAGAGGCATATATCAAGCTGGATGGCGAGGCATTGCTCGCAGAGTGGATACCACAATTGGAATTCAAGCACGTACGTGCGCCGAGGCCGGGGACGCCGGCGAGGTGTAGTACGCATGGGACCTGGGGTGAGAGGACGAGTGACGCCGAAGTTTGGTTCTCGATGAAGAGTGATGGGAAGGGGCCTGCGGGTGTGCGAGGGTTGAAGAAGGGCGAGTGTGGGAGACTGGAGGACACGAGGGTGGAGATTCAGGCTTTTGAGGAGGACTTCATGATTGGGGTTGCGGCGAGGGAGAAGAGAGATTCGGCGGTCAATGGGAGTAGGAAGAAGCTGCCGGATGTTTTGACGCATTTTAGAGGGCTGCATTTGGAAGAGGATGTTATGAGCGTTGCGAGGGGTGCTTGATACTTTACTTCTGATGAGAGCACCCATACCATGCAGGTCCCTTATCCGCTGCAAAGTGGCAAAAGAAAATTACATGCCAAATTCTTCTTTAGAACCAGATTCTGCGACCCGAGCCCCTAGCCCCCATCTACTGGTTGTGGCTCGCCGAATATTTGTCCAAGGTGATAGCTTTCTTTCTCGCGGTCACGGTCGTGGTTTGGAAGCGGCTTAGGTGCTTTCCTATGTTCAGACTCGCCATCCGGCGATGCTAATTCGGCGACAGGTTCACTGTACTGTGGTCAGCAATGATTCAAAATTATCGATTGTACAATATACCCTTGTACAGAAGATCGAGGATTTCTGATAATGTAGGGTGCCAGTGCAGATAGTGCTGTCTCGTCAAATGTCTCGGGTGAGATCAAAAACCGCATCATGTCGTGAGTTGGTGCGGCTGGTGCTAAGGCCGACGCTGCTTTGCCGTCCTGGGGTACTTGTAACAGTCCGGAACGAACGCATCCGTTGCAGAACAAATCCGGGCTACCCTTCCAAAACACGTTCAAAACATCTTCAGCAGATGGTCGGTTGCTGGGGGTATGGTTCAGCATGTGACATGTCAAATAAATGACGGCGCTTGGCCAAATCTGTGGGGAGATTCTGCCAGCCATATGTTCGATGGCCTCAATGATGTTATCTGCATAGTGATGCATGTCTGGCTTCATAGGATCTAGTTCCAGTGCGCATAAAATCTCGAAGTAGACACACCCGAGCGAGAACACGTCCGATTTCCGATTGCGAGGTTCAGAATTATGTACCTCCGGGGCCGCATACTTGCGGGTGATGGAATCAGGGTGGCCTGTAGTGTCACTCCGCGTATCTGCACCGTAGTCGAGAGAGGATCCAAAGTCCGTATATATGAAAGAGCCCTTGTGTACCAGAATGTTGTGAGGTTTGATGTCTTTGTGTCGTACCTTCTGGGCGTGCATGAATTGTAATCCGCTAGCGAGGCATCCGAAAGCATAGTCCAAGGTGTTCATCTCACTCTGTGTGAGGAGACCCTCATGAGCATCGTCGAGGAATTTGTCCAGTGAACCCCCATCAGCGACAGGTGTCAGCAAAATGCCTACTTCACGCTTCCCTACGTAAGTGGCAAAGATCCGGGTGATATGATGATGTGGAGCTAGCCGTTGGATGACTAGGATCTCGTTATGAAAGATTCGCCTCCTCTCAGCAGCAGAACCGCGGACTCTGAACACCTTGCGAGCGAAAACCCTGCCGGTATTTAGGTCCACAACCTCCTCCACGTTGGAGCAACCACCCTGACCTAAATTGCGGAGCAATCTAAGGGGCAGCTCGTCGTCAGGCTCAAGGAGGTAATGCTGACCCTCCTCGATACGTATAATTCGTTTGGGGTCGCTGTCGCCGTTCATCGCCGCGGGAAATTATACACGGGTGACGCCGCGCAGTCGCTGGGTGGTAAATCTTAGGCGTAGAGCGCGACTAACAAAGGTCAGCCTGCTCGCTCGATAATTATACTATCATACGTCAATGCGCTCACAAGTCGCCGCTAAGTCAGCGGCTTTACTGGCAATATCGACGGGTGCGAGAGGCTAACATGGACGCACAAAGCTGAGATAGTGTTGCGTAGATAAAGTCGGGATATGCAGCGTCCTTGGAACTCTCGGAGGTTGGTTTACTAAGTTGGAGAAGAAAAGAGGTCTTCCAATTTTTTCTAGAAGGCTGAAAGTGAAGCATGCATGCATGAAGTGAGAAGGCGGGCTCGCGTCACAATGCATGGCGCAGGCTGAGGGCAGCATAGGCGATTGGCTCCAGGTGGAGGCACTGCCTATAGCCATATCAACCCCCAAGACCGGCTTTCGACCGCAATTCTGAGCACTGCAGCGATGTTTGTCGGTGATAATGATATCTGAGATATCATAGGTATCGAGGTGGAGTATGGGCGTTCGCGTTCGTTGACAGGAAACAGGTCGCATATACCTAGTATACGCGATAGGACAAAGTCCTTCTCGAATCTCAACATAAGTGCCATGAATCGCCAGGCAGAAGGAACCTATTCATCACTCGTTTAAATCGGCAGTTCGCTGTTGTTGGAGTACAAGAAAAAGAGAAGTGCGGCGAGCCTATCACGTTTCGTAGCGTGGCTGAGTAAGCCCAGATCCCGATTCCGAGATGACCTCGGCGGGCGCGTCGGTCCATATTCCCTCAATGTAAGCTCTCTAGAACACTACCTGGCCCTCTCGCAGTACAACGAACTCTACGAGCGCGCCGACAAACTCAACATATCGGAGTGCCTCATGTTGATGCCTAGTCTGAAGATGCCGAAGAAGATACGCGTCATGATTGCTGGACCCTGAGCCCATAAGGTTTGATAGCTACGTCAACGCACCCGAAGTCAACCCGCAGCTATGCCCCGATGTATATTACACCCCTCACCAACTCAACATCACGCCCGCAGTTTCCGCCTTACTCTCACGCAGTCAATTGAACGTTATTTCGAAGCCCCCATCCTCAAAGCGATCCAAAAACCGCCACAATGTCTTCCAACTCGCTCAACTACCCGCTCCTCGCCATCCCAGCCTACTACGTCTTCTCTCTCGTCCCGCACATATACGCAGCTAGCCTTCTCACAGCCAATGGCTACAAGATTAACAACGCGAACCCCAAGGCAGCGTTGTCACCAGAAGCCGTGAAGGGCAAGGTGCCCGATGCTGTGTAAGGCGTCCCCACTCTCCCCACCTCAAGTCCCTTGCTAGTACGGTACTAACATGTTCACAGCTTCAAAAAGTACCAACGCGCCGAGAACGCCCAGTCGAACAATATGGAACAAATGCCCCTCTTCGCCGCCGCCGTTATCGCCAGCATCATCGCCGAACGCACCACCGCAACAGGCATAGGACGAGAGGTCATCTCAGGCGATGCAACAGGCTTGACAACATTTGTCACAGCTTGGTTCGCAGTCAGGGCAGCGTACTCTCTAGCATATGTACAAATCGCGACTTACTCGAAAAGCATGATCAGGAGCGGCCTTTGGGTTATCGGAAGCGGTCTAGCGATGTACCAAATCTACAAGGCTGCTGCGATCTTGGGCTAGATATCATGGATGATGAAGCGGTATGGTGAGCACGACAAATATTACAAAGACAACATGGAACAAGAAATTTAGTGTTAGGACTATCCTTTAGAATCGATGTGCAGTGAGATCAATTGCTACTCAATTCAGGTGTGCCAGCAACTAAGGACTTCCGAATTCACAGTACCAGCGATCGACACTTGCCAGTGTAACCTCGCGTCGCCGTCCCAAAACGGATGAAGTCCAGACACAAACACGCACAACGGTTACACGAGTATATCACGCGTGGTGGCGCATTCACACTGGGATTGGCCTAGAACGAACGACGAAACTCATTGAACGTACAAGTGACATAACGAATCTGCAGGAGACATTGACGACTAGCAGGTAGCCGTAATTCCACGCAGCCGCCGATATTTGGCCCATTAACTCTGATATCTCGCGAGCGTCATGCGATAACCAACCTTTCACTGCATGCGCTCACTTTCTACTGAAGATATAGTAGCTGCTTTCTATATCACATCATGATTCACCCCAAATCGTCGCACTCACTTCGCTTTGTATTGGCTTGTCTTCTACGCTGTGCCGCGACACAATCATCTTCAGCCTCTTTCCTTTATCCGGAAAGCGCTTCTCCCGTCTTGACAATCAACGTTTACGATTTTGTAAACATCAAATGGATGTCCAACTACGATCGAGCTTATTTGTACTTGTGGTGTGATCCCAATAGTGGGACCGGCAAACAGGCAGAATGTATGTAACCACCCTCGCAAGGTGTCTCAGTTACGGTCACCATCAAATCAGATGAACTTTCTGAAGCTGAGATACTATAGTTCATGAAGTGAATTCATGGGAGGTCGAATCAACCGGCGAAATGACCTTTTCACCTCAGGAAAAATTGGATACAAATAGCGGTTGGAGCGGTCCCATCGCATGTTACTTCGACATCCAATACTATGATCGCGGCAATGACGGGCTGCAGGGTCCACTGTTCACGGTCGTGTCAGATATCGACAGTGCACCAACTCTCTACGATCAATCGTTCACATCGCTCTTGGATCCTACGACCAGTGAGATGACGATGACCTCCCTGTCATCCTCTTCAGCCATCACTTCGTTGCCAGTCTCCGGCGTAGCAACGGTATACGATCAACCGTCTACATCACTCACCACATCTACTATTAGTGTGATGAAGACGACCTTCATGTCCACCTCTTCAACGACTATGTGGTCACCAATCCCCAGCGTAATAACGGAGAGGGACAAGAAGACACTCTCGGGTGGTGCGATAACAGGGGTAGCATTGGGCGCAGCATTCGCAGTAGTGGCATCAGTAACAGTAGGATGGTTCTTCTTTCGGTACCATCGGAGGATAAAGGCGTTAGAGACAAGAATGTCTGGAGCTGGCGGCCCAACGGGACATCCGTCGCATAGATCGATACCTATACTACCTGCGGAGAAGCGTGACAGGCCACAGGCTGAGTTGTCTGAATTGGTGGCATAGAATGCGGGAACCGATCTTTTATTGTTAAGAATCGGACTGGCCGAATCTCAAACTTTGTCAGCGTTACCTCCCCACGCTCCATGTTCGCCCTCCGCCTTTGGCTTCCCGATCCTCTCCAGCTGCGCTTTCATGCCCGTACTCGTCGCCATAGTCTTCATGCTCTCATCACAGTACTCCACCCCATCTCGAAAGTAGAAATTCTTGCCAAAAAGCTCCACAGTCAGACCCCAGTTGTCCTTGCCCGCCACCTTCTTTCCGTTAGCATCCTCAATGTCTCCTCCATCCACCACCTTCATCACGGCGTTAACGACTGTCTCCATGGGTGTCATGAAGCTCTCTGGGAGGGACCCCCATTCCTCTTCACTCAATAGGCCGGTGCGAACGATGCTTGGGCAGACCGTGAACGTTCTAATGCCAGCGTGGTGGTATGCTACTGTGATAGCACGGTTAAAGTGGATTACTCCCGCTTTAGCACCAGAGTACATAGGGCCGAACTCGGCTGGATAGAGTCCACCACAGCTTGCAGTCATGACTAGGGCCGCGTCGTTGTTCTCTCTGCCATGCTTGGCCTGGGATTTCCGGAAGTAGTGGAACGCGAGCCATGAGGTGTTTATCACTGCCGTATAATTGACGTCGACTACGAGGCTGTTCGGCGGTGGAGGCGGCGCGTTGAGAGCATGTTCTTCGTAGAAATCTAGGTGTTGGTGATCAAGTCAGTTGGTGTCTGATTTGCCATACGAATAGGTTTGCTACGCACTGTCTTTTTCGGCGATACCAGCGTTCGCGAAGACGAAGTCGAGACGACCTGACTTTGACCATGCTGATTCGAAAGCTGCTACCAGCGAGGCGTAGTCGGCTACATTCGCCTGGTGAGCATGCGTATTCTTGAGCAAAGACGTGGCTTTTGTGAGATTATCAGTGCTGAGGTCGACAAGGTGCAGGTCCCACTCTTCATTAGTACGAGCTGCGAGGGCCTCCGCAACAGCGAGTCCCATTCCACTAGCCCCGCCAGTAATGAGAGCTACTTTCTTGACCATGTTGAGATTGTCGAGTAGGGTAGATGAGTGATTCTTGTAGAGGAGGTGCCAAAGGCGACAGTGTGATAGTAAACAGCGAGCGTGTGAGTGTTCAAGATTGGGTGATTTGGGGTGCAAGAAGGAAGTCGTTGGAATTTATAGATTATGCGTACGAGGACGACCAAGCGCGCTTCAGGAACTAGAAGGGCTGAAATAGATAGTACTAAGGTTGCGATATCCCTGCTCTGCATCAACATTCCACAGTAATAAGGTTGCGATATGTGCGATGGAGGGCACTTCTGCGAGCACGTGATGCCAAGGTATACGCTAGAGCCACTCCGTGTGTGCATCGGCGTGAGGTGGCCGACGTCATTCTGACTCATTCTCAATCATTCAGCGCCGGCTTTACAATCGGCCGGTGGCTGAAGCGCATCTTCGCGTAGGCATCCGGGTCTAATGCGCGAATGTGCCCCGAGATGGTAGCAAATGCGGCGTCAAGGGTGCGCATCATGCTTTGGATGGCATCGTCAAGCGCCGGCTTTGTCGGACTAGACGATGCAGCGAGAAAGGCGCCTTCTCATATTTAGACAAATACCCCAGCCAAATCTGTCGGAATAGGGTCCTTTCTTGACGAACTTAGCCCATACTTGGACTTCAGCAAGTGAACCCGACGTTGGTTGGGGAGGTCAAGAGGCAGACTGTCCGTCATGCTGTCCTGTGCAGACTTCTTTTCCACCCGACCGCGCTGGTACTTATGCCGTCTCTCCTCCTTTCATAAATTCTGCCGCCTTGGCTCGACATGCAGCCGTCAAACGTCTG